TTGTGTATTTGTGCTGATTTATTTATTTATCAGCACAAATACACGCGCGCGCGCGCACACACACACACACACACACACACACAAACACACACATATCCCACCACAATAAAATGCAGTCCCTTTTTGCAAACCTTTATCACAAAGGCATAAATGTGTTTTATTATATTTTAAGTCTCAGGAGAATATTACCTGAAGTATTGTACCTCCTTGTAAAAGCATTTGTCATTTTGCATATCATACAATCAGCCTTACCTGGAAGAGAGTATCACTTTGGTGCCTTATACATGTAATCATGTCCATCATGACATTACCATGTAAATGATACAGTCCACATTGTATAATTTTCACAACTACAAAACACAAGTTGCATCATTTGCATAATATCATAATGCATGTGACATTATTTGCTCCCCCTGCAGAGGACTATGCTAGATTTTTAGTATGTGCAATAAGAATCCTTTGGAAAAATCCATTTAAAGAAATTCTGGTTCTTTTGTTTGCTTTGTTTGCCTAAATTCCTCTTAGGATTTTGTTGTCCAACATCTCTTACCACTCATTATACATTGAAATATACAAATCAACCCGGGATGCTTCCCCCATTTTAATCTGGCTAACCAGCGGAACCCAAATTATATTAACGGAGTCATTTTAGGCATGCATTTTGTTCTGCTCCTGTAGTCTGTTTGATTAAATCATTATTCATTGTTGATTTTAATTTGCAACACAAGAAGCCAAAGCACAACAACACTGAATTAGGCAAGACATCCAATCCTAGGAAAAGAAATGGGCCAGCTAAAATCATAGAAACCAAAAGGAAACATTTCTGGTCCAAGGGGGCTGATTTCCTGACAAGCATTTTCATCTTTTGTGTTTAATTTAGATTGTTGTTGGAGCCCGGAAAACCGGATAGCAATCTGGAACACATGTGTTACTCCCAAATCTTTAAGGGAATATAATTTATGGTGACCGGTGTGTCCTGTACTAATATTGTTCTTCCGTAATTCAGAATAATTCAAACTTTCTACAAACCTGAGCAAAGATGCCATTTCCAGTTTCTCATCCTTTCTCCATGTTTCGAGAATGGATTAGTACTTGTTTAGCAGCTGACCATTTTGATTGATTTATTAGATTTATATCCTATCCTTTCCCCAGGAATTTAAGGCAGGACATCCCAATGCAATCCCTTCCCCTTTTATCTTTGCAATAACCCTACAGGGAAAGTTGTACACAGAAAGCAAGAGTGACTGACGCATGGTCACCTATGAGCATCCATGGCTAAATAGGGATTTGATTTGAAGCTGTCTCTACTCCTAATCCAACACTTTAAATACTGTGCTTGCTATAGTAATAGCTCACCAATTTATAGACATACGTAACAAAACATAATGGTATAGAGGTTGAAGGAGTTTCCATTTCATGTTCCAAATTATATTAGCACTCCCAACATCTTGTAGATGTGATTACCGGAAGGTAGCAGCTGGAGAAAAAAATTCTCAAAATGATCTGGAATTCCCAATGTAGGCTTTATGCTAATTTAAGTATTTCACAGATCTTATCATTTGACAATATATTGATCTTAAGTATTTCTCCGATCTTGCCTTTGGGGCTACTGTTAGTAGGCTTGTAACAGCTGCTGCAAAGCGCCAAGTGCTTACAGAGGTCCTTTTCTTCTAGATAATGAAGGCAATGTTTCATAATCAAGGCATTATTGGAAGTCCAAAAGGTCTGGAGTCAGAGCACTCATATAATTTTCCTGAATTTTTCTCTCACTCACAGGATGAGACCACACCAAATATGGCAATAAACCTTGACTCTCCAGAGACTTCACGAGTACTAAGGAATTTGCTTATAGCGTAAGTTCAGAAGCACAACACAGCTAGGTCCATTTATTTTATGGTTATAATGTGTATAGGATGCCGGTTTGTTCTCCCATGGTTTAATTTATATTTGCATTTAATGATTTTTAACTGTTGTTTTAATTAGGAGTTTATTGCATACTGCCCAGAGTCATTTTTGTGAGATGGGAAGCTATATAAACATGAAAGATGTATGTATGTATGTATGTATGTATGTATGTATGTATGTATGTATGTACACATACACACACTATGTATTTTATTGCAGAGAACATAGAATGTTTTCTGTGGTCTATTTACTGTTGAATGCAGAAATCAAGTCATGCTTATGTGTTTGTCTGTGTCTGTCTGTGTGTATGTGCATTGCACTTCAGGTCTACGTTCTGTGTTTTTTGGGTCAACAAAACTTTAACTAACGTATATGTAAAAGTTCCCTTCTGACCCTGATTGTGTCTTCCTCAATCTCACATCTTCTACTAGTTTGTGTAAGTTCTGTGCAAGGTCTTAGCTGTTCCTAGCCCTTCACTCTTCTAGGCAGAGAGGTCTGATGTTGATCTTGGGATCTGTTGGGGCCATTTCCCCAGATTAGGAGTCATAGCCTTGAATGCTCCTACCACCTCGGACCTTTTTGGCTTTTACTTTCCACATCCTCTCCAGTTCCTTCTTCAGGCCCTGGTACGTATACATATATACATACCTACTATGTGTCATTGTTCTCTCCATTGTTCTCCTTGAAATCAATGGTGCCAGTAATTTTGGGGGCTGTTTTTAAATGATTGGTTTTGAATGCCTTGGATGAAAAGTGTCGGTCCATCAGATAATTTCAAATGCTGAATCTGGATGAACCAATTCTGTAGGGACCAGGAGAATTATCCTTCCTCCAAAGTTCTCATTCATAAGAGTCTAAAGATCAATGGCTGTATCCTCTACTTGTTATTCAATGGCTGATTTCATTTGATTAACCCGAATACCGACCTAACCTATTTCCGCAAAATCCTGGATCCCAAATCGATCCAAAGCTGGAAAAAAAACAACAAGAAACCAGACCTTAATATAAATGCAGTGGTATAATCAGGAGGCTAGGATAAGAAATTGGTTGCTAGCAGTCTGCTAGGATGAAACAGCAAGAGAAAGAAATTCAGGATATAAATGTTGGGAGACACATGCAGAGAAATCTAGATTCCTAGACTTTGCAAAAGGCAACCATATCATTACTTTGCCTTTGAAGTGTAAGCAAGTGTGTTCTTTTGAATGCAATGTGAATTCCTAAAGAAAAATAATTATGTCAGTAGCCTAGCTATATCTCCGGGAGCTGCTAATTACTGACTCAATATTATTAAAGTAATTACTTTAAAACAAAACACAAATTGAATTAGCCTATTCTTTAAGCATCCAACTACTCAGTGGCTGATTTCATTTGATTAACCTGAATACCGATCTAACCTATTTTCACAAAATCCTGGATCCCAAATTGGTTCAATGGATCCCCCCAAATATAAGTGAATTGAATAAATTGAAACTGATCTGGTTCAGGTTGTTAACCAGTTGAGTTACTTCAGGCCAGACATTTTATTTATAGGAATGGCATCTGTACAGAAATAGTCAAAAATTATTCCCTTTAATTGCTTGTACTATATGTATAAAGTGCTTAAGGGAGGGGCATATATCATTCATGTCATACTGAGGATGGGCTATGCGGTGTTAACATCCCTTCACTTCTTCCTCATATTTGATAACTTGAATGATCCCTCTGATAGGCTTTTGATTTTTTTTGTTCATAAACCAGTGCAGTGGTAGAGAGCAGTCTGACTTGTCTTTCTTAATCACCAGAACTCAGGTGGAATCTTTCTAGGACCATATCAAAGTCCTTGGTCTGCTTTCATCTCACTGTGATCATAAACAACAGCTCAGAGAAATAATGACAATAGAAACCTCAGGAAAGCAGCTGAGTTGTGAGAAAGACGCATGATGATCCAAGTAGGAGAATAAATCTATTCACAGAAGCAACATGGAAAATGTTATAGTTCTCATTTGAAGTGGAATAAAGCCTTCCAAAGCTGATTTCTCATTGTCTCAGCTTCTCTAGCATTTCCAAATTCGAGAGGTAAAACTGAGCACAATTAGGGAAAGGTTTTTTTTTGTGGCAGTGTTCTCATTATGATGGATCTTCTTTCCCATAAAAACCTGTCAGAGGCCATTTTTCAGTTGTATCAATAACAGTTGTGGGTCAGCTCTGATGAACCCAGGCAGAAGAAGATACTGCAAGACACAACTTCACATGCTGTGGAGGCCTAGGAGAAAATGACAAATACAAAATAACTGCTACATCATTATCTTTTACTTCTCCGTCCTTCAAGCCTTTTACTAGTAGGTAACCCAAAGTCAAGATGGCAACAATAATGTATGGTCCCAACCATAATCTTGTATTTTTTAAAATTCCTTCCTGTTGACATACCTATTCTTAACCTTTTATTATAATGAGTCAAATCTACCATGCTTACATATTTATATTTATCCATTTGCCATGTATATGTATGAATGAATTTGAAAGAAAGAGAACTTTTCAAAAAGATGCTCACTATTCTCATTTGTTCTTGGATTTCTAAATGGTTTAATCATTTTTCTTTACTCTCTCATCTCACTCCCACCTTTCATTCATATTACACACATACTACATACATATACACAGACCAGAATCATATTTATTCAATATGTTGAACAGCTTAATACTTTATTCAAAATTTTACCAATGCTATCATTTCCATGAATGTATTTATCAGCTCTATTTCACAAAAGCATATCCTTTTTTTTCACTTCAATTATATTTTTCCCCCTTCCCTTAGTGTTATATATGTACAGCATACATTTCCCCCACTTTCTTTCCTATTTAAATTCATATCCTTTACTATTTATTTGTTCTTGCTCAAATGGATCCAACTCTTTAAGTCTTCCCATTCTAGGAACACCCTATGGAAGTTCCAACAATGTGCTAGGTAGCAAGTATGGATGTGTCTTCTCTTTGCCTATGGAGATTAGCAAATGCCCGCCACTGGCCGTTTTCTTGTGAAGACAGAGCTAGCGCTGTCCAAAAATGTCTCCGTGATCATGTGGCTGGCATGACTAAACGTTGAAAGCTCAGGGAACACTGTTACCTTCCCACAAAGGTGATTTCTATTTTTCTACTTGCATTTTTACATGCTATCAAACTGCTAGGTTGGCAGAAGCTGGCACAAATAATGGGAGCTGACTCCATTACGCAGCACTAGAAATTCAAACCGCTGAACTGTCGATCTTTCTGATCGGCAAGCTCAGTGTCTTAGCCACTGAGCCACTGCATCCCTCTCACATATGTGTGTTTACTTATTTGCACGTGTGTGTAGGTGAATAATATATGAGTAGGTATGAAGGAAGAGAAGTCTTCATCAATTTTCTCATTCTCTCTCTCTCTCTCTCTCAATTTCCCTCTCTCAGTCTCTCTCTCTCTCTCTCTCTCTCTCTCTC